AGAGCCTTGTTTAAAGAAAAAAGCCGAAGTGATCGAGCCGAACCTGGAGAAGACGTAGAATTGATCTATATCGATGAACCGGTCTTCCACAAATCACTGTGTATTGGAAGTCATCTTCAAGAACCTCTTCGGTCAGAACTTATCTCGTTTCTCAAACACAATTCTGATGTTTTCGCTTGGAAGCACGAGGATATGAAGGGTATCGACCCCGGTATTGCTAGTCACAAGTTGAACCTCGATCGAACCATCCGGCCTGTTGTACAAAAGAGAAGAAAACTGGGGCCGGATCGTCTGAAGGCGTTGGAAGAAGAAGTCAAAAAACTCATCGACAACAAGTTCATCAAGGAAGCCAAATACCCGACGTGGGTCTCAAATCCTGTTCTTGTCAAAAAGAGCAATGGGCTATGGAGACTGTGTATTGATTTTTCCGACCTGAATAAGGCGTGCTCGAAGGACAGTTATCCGCTTCCCCACATAGATTAAATGGTTGATGCAACGTCGGGACACGAGTTGATGAGTTTCATGGATGCTTACTCGGGCTATAATCAGATTCCTATGGATCCTGAAGATTCTGAACACACTTCATTCTATTCGGCCTGAGGCTTGTACTGTTATACAATGATGTCATTTGGATTAAAGAACGCCGGAGCCACATATCAACGTCTCGTCAAAAAAATGTTCGCTACACTGATCGGTCACACTATGGAAGTTTATGTTGATGACATGCTCGTCAAGTCGGTGCACGCCTCCGATCATATAACGCATCTTCAAGACATGTTCGCCATCCTCCGATCTTATTCCATGGTCTCAAATCCTAAGAAATGTACTTTTGGAGTTGAATCGGGAAAATTTCTGGGCTATATAGTCAGCCAGCGCGGAATTGAAGCCAATCCGGCTAAAATAAAGGCCATTCAAGATCTAACTCCCCCGACCTCGGTTAAGGGTGTTCAGGCCCTGACCGGCCGACTTGCTGCACTCAACCGGTTCATCTCCAAGTCTACAGATCGTTGTAGACCCTTTTTCGAAGCAATCAAAAAAGGAAAACGTTTTGAATGGACCGAGGAATGCCAAAAAGCTCTCGTTAGCCTCAAGGAGACGCTTGCCTCTCCTCCGACTTTACAAAAGCCAAGACCCGAGGAAATGTTATTCTTATATCTCGGAGTCAGTGATTCTGCCATTAGCGCTGTTCTGATACGTGAAGAAGAACTGTTGCAATCACCTATCTATTATGTCAGCAAAGCCTTGCACGATACCGAACTACGTTACCCTCCGATGGAAAAGTTGGCGTTTGCACTTGTAATAGCAGCCCGGAAATTGCGACCATATTTCCAAGAACATTCTATAACTGTTCGCACTTCGTATTCACTTCGGCAAATCCTGCACCGACCTGATACCTTAGGACGCATGGTCAAATGGGCCATTGAGCTCGGACAATTCGATATCCATTATCAACCGAGGACCGCGATCAAGGCACAAGCCTTATCTGACTTCATTGTCGAGTTCACTCCGGCCATAACAGTTCATCATGATGATCAACCATGGGTCCTCTATATTGATGGATCTTAAACAGCCAACCGAGCGGCGCAGGGATAGTTTTAGCTGACCCGGAAAACCGGTTATTCTGTCACTCGGTGAAGTTCCTCTTCCCGGCAACCAACAATGAAGCCAAATACGAAGCCTTGCTATCCGGATTGAATTTCGCAGAATCCATGAACGTGAAACACCTTAAAGTCTTTTCGGACTCTCAACTCCTTGTCAACCAAATCAATGGTTCATATGAAGTCAAAGAACCTCGGTTGACACCTTATCTCTCTTTGGCCAAACAGAAGTTATCAAAGTTCTCCGCCGACCTCGAACAAAACTCTGAATGTTAAAGCAGATGCCTTATCTCGGCTGGCCTCAAGTACCGGAATGGAGAGCGCGGAGTATGTCCAAATCGGCCAGCAAGAACAACCGTCGACTGCACTTTTCGAGGTCGCAACTATCGATCCGGTGACGCCGCAAAAGCCACCGACTTGGATGGATCCTATTATTCATTATTTGGAAACTGGGGCCTTACCCCCAGACCCAAAAGAAGCTCGTGCACTTCGGATCCGAGCAGCTCGGTACACATTGGACAACGGGACTTTGTTTAAAAGGGGATACTCCGTCCCACTTTTAAAATGCGTGAGTGAGACTGAGTCACGATACATTCTTGAAGAAGTCCACGAAGGGATTTGCGGAAGTCACCCCGGTGCACAAGCATTATCTTACAAAATCTTGCGACAAGGTTATTACTGGCCGACCCTGAAAACCGACGCTGCCACATGGGTTCGCAAATGCCCGAAATGCAAACTATTCGCGCC